GGGAAGTCCCTGGTTTGGAGGTTTTTTTAATGACTTCAAAAGGCATCTTAAAAAGTCATACTCTTTTGGCAGTTCCAAGATGCAACTGCTGCTACAAGTACTAACACTTACCAGCAACTGACTGATGGACACACTGCTTTTCTCAAAAGTACCCTTTCCCTCCTGTGGCTTTTCAGACCAAACTAAGTTTTTTTTTTGTGTGTGTGTGTGTGTGTGTGCCCATGCACACACAGAGACATAGCACACAACTGAAAGCCAAATGAAATTCAACAAATTTACCATTTTTAGGGTTAAATTGTGGAAAAAGAAAAAACTATTGACATGCCTTTTCATTTGAACTATTTAGATACTGCAAAATTTTCTTCCTACCGGTGGGAAATTAAACTAACAATTCTAAGTTAATGACTTGAGGGTAAACAGTTCCTTCTTTTATAAAATGAATTGGGTTTACCAAGACTTGCGTTTAAGTGAATTTCTCCTGTCCCTTTAAATCAAGTAAAGGCATGATTTCAGCGAATTCCTAGGCTTCATGAGAGGCTTCAAAAGAAATACGATTTTTTGCCCTATAGTTGTACATTAACTCCACATCTCCCCAACACCTGTTATGCACAGATGCAGGGAAGCATCCACCCTTAATGTTGTTTTCACAGGTGATAGCAGAAAAATAAGAAGAGTGCAATAAATTATTCCTAAAGCTGAATGTTTTCAATGTGAAGATTTTATTCCTTAGTCTGTCTCCTTCCTACTATTTTAGGATCAAGATGGTGCTTTCTTTCTTTTTTTTTTTTTTGCGGTACGTGGGCCTCTCACTGTTGTGGCCTCTCCCGTTGCGGAGCACAGGCTCCGGACGCACAGGCTCAGCGGCCATGGCTCACGGGCCCAGCCGCTTCGCGGCATGTGGGATCTTCCCGGACCCGGGCACGTGTCCCTTGCATCGGCAGGCAGACTCTCAACCACTGCGCCACCAGGGAAGCCCCGGTCCTTTCTTTTATAAGAACTGTAGTGATAGATGTTAGGTTTTTAAAAACATCCTTCCTTGGCAAAATGAAAACTTGGTAGCCCTAAGCCAATCCCCCCAATTTTGTTTTGGTAGTTTCTTGGTCCAGACAAACTACATTTGAGAACCACTTGTCTACAGCACCCTCTGAACCAAGGAATTCAGGGTCAGTTGTCCAGTTATCACTAGTTCTCATCTACTTATCACAATTGTGACCAGACAGCCTTGGGGGCAACAAACAACCTACAGAAAATTTAAGTCTAATTTTAGTCAATATTCAGGGGAGTGGGGAATGAAAAATTTTATGGTTTATAAATTTGTGGTCTGTAAGTTCCTGGTCACTCTGGAACTTTATCCTCCATCCACAGGCCCCTCGCTGCACCCTATCCACGCCTTATCCTCAAAGTTATCGCCTCCCAGTTTTGAAATCAGCTTCAGGGTGCTGCGCCCACCTTTGCTCTTCCCACCACTAATCTGGGAACCTCAAATCAAGACACTTCACCCTCCTAGCCCTACAGCACCCAAGGCTTTTGAGAATGATTCACAGCGTTTTGTCAGCTAAAATCCCACTGAAATAAATGCCCAAGGCTAGCTTCTCACTACTGCAGCATCTCACCCAATCCAGGTGATTCTAAAATCCATCCGCCCAGAAAAGCCCCACTGAGGCTGGCTTGGGAAGCCAAAGCTGAGGAGGGTCACTTGCCCCTCCAGAGCCTCCAAACGGATAACAATGGCAAGAAAATCAGCTAGGATAAGTCATGACAGGCTTTCAACTATTTGCAAGACTTTTTCAACCAAGAATACATTAATATGTTACCGTAAAGTTAAAATTCCTTATTTTCCAGGGATTATAACTACTTTTAATTGAAAACTGTGTGCTACTTAAATTTTTCTTTATTTAGGTTTTCCCCAAAATGATTTTTTTTTTTTTTTGGTACGCGGGCCTCTCACTGTTGTGGCCTCTCCCGTTGCGGAGCACAGGCTCCGGACATGCAAGCTCAGCGGCCATGGCTCGCAGGCCCAGTCGCTCCACGGCATCTGGGATCTTCCTGGACCAGGGCACGAACCCGTGTCCCCTGCATCGGCAGGCGGACTCTCAACCACTGCGCCACCAGGGAAGCCCCCAAAATGAATTTTTTAAAAAAAAAAATTCCAGTAAAAAAAAAAAAAATCCATAAACACTAAATATTTTAATATCTTTATTTACCTTGTCTCTAGCTGAGCTAACCAGTGACCTATATTTGTTGTGAAGAGTTAATTTCCTAGAATAAGCATGCACATAAACATACAAATGTGACAATATTTTGAGTTATATGAAGCTGATAAAGGTAACATTTATTGGGCCAGCCACTGGGCCACTGGGCACTTTACTTGGATTACCCCAGTTAGTCCTTACAACAGACCTATAAAGCAGGTATTATTCCTATTCCCATTTTATAGATGAGGTTATAAATGAGGAACTTCATTACTGTAATTTAATCTTCAATAACCCAGAATTTGAGTTCAGTGTTTACTCTGGCTATAGAAAGGTTGAATAAGCATATTAGAAATAAAACAGCATTGTAGAAGGCATAGTTAACCTCCCAGAAGGTCCTACATCTTAAGACATACTGAAAAGCAGATGCTAATTGCAAGTCTTCCAACAGGAACTGTTTGGGAAGGTTCTGTCTGAAACTATACTATGTTAAAGAACTTTAAAATTCAGACTTTCACTAGTTAAGAGTGAGTTTTCTCTCACTGTTACCCCAACAATTAGTCTTAATTAGTAAGGTCTCTATATATGATACAGTACAGTGGATGTCCACTGTCACTCTCCCCACGTCCATTTCCCTCCTCCCTCAACAGTACTCACAGCTCTGCTTCCCCCACCCTGGTGCTTTGAGGAAAGCTACACTCGCCAGTGTAGGGATAGGCCAATCAGGAAAATCTCCCATCCCTGCCAATCAACAAGAAGGCGTTCACCTAGCCAATGTGACTGGCTAAACAATGAGCACATGACTCAGTTCAAGCCAATGAAATGCAGGGTTGGTTTGCTGGGGAGGGGCTTCTGGGAAAGATACTTTCTCAGTCTTTTCAAGAGTTACGGCAAGGGATGTTTCTTTCTTTCCGGCCAGAGGGATGTGCAACAATAAGCCCAGGAACTTCTGTGGCCATTCTGCCTCCAGGAGAGAGGCCAGCCTGAGGATGGACTGATACCATGGAAGAGCGGCAGAGAGATGGGAAGAAACTGGACTCCTGGTGACAAGTTGAGCTGTTGTCTCCCATGCACCCTGTAGTCCGTCCCATCCCTGATTTTTGCTAGTACAAGCCACTTAATTAATTCCCTGTGCTGTGGGAACCCCTTTAAGTTCAGTTTTATGATATTCACAACCCCCAAGTAATCCAAACTGATAAATTGGAAATAAGCACTCATCCACAGCTTTTTCCTAGCACTTGCTCAGATTCTGCTTGGTCCTGTTTCAAGTGGTTTTGTGCTGTTTTTCTTGAGAAAATATAATGGGCTTTCAATAAACACTTTCATGAATTCATGAGCGGCCTTGGGCAAGTCACTTGATCTCCTTGGGTCTTTTCAACTATAAGAAGGATGAATTTTGATTAGAGGGTTTCTGGTGCTCCTTCCAGCCCTCACAGCCAATGGTTCTATGGAGCTGACCCAATATTGCAAAGTTTCACACTCAAACAAACGAAAAACCCTCTTTTGGTCCTAAAGTAGAAACAACCCTTTTAATATATTCCAAGCGATCTGCATCTCTTGGTCGGTCAGATATTTTCCATTTGTGCCCTGATACCCATCCCCGATGTGTCTCCACTCAGCTCTCGCCCCTAGAGGTTCTGATCTCTGCACAGCTTCAACATGCTCCCTGCCTCCTGGCTTCCGGCTGAGTATGCCTAATGGGAGGCACGGTCAGGAGACGGGAGAACTGACAGGGAGTTCAATGAGGATATCCATTTTCTTGGCTCTTTCCCGGCCATGTTGCTGTAGGTTGACTGCCTCCTACCAGAGACTGCCTTTCTGTACAGCTTCTGATAAACAATCCCTCCCTCTTCTTTTCAGGCCCAGGTATGGGAACAGCTTCCTGACATTGCTAACCCTGGGATGCTTCAACATCCCGTGCTGGTTTCTCTTAACCCTGCTGATGCCACTATAAGCAGTTCCTTCAGTAGAGACCCTTGGACTACTCCATTTGAGTGAACCATCTGTTTCCTACTGGAACCCCAAGACACAGTGGCTTAAAAATTAAATCAAAATCAGGCACAATAAAAAAGAAACAGAAGCAATCAACTGTGAGTCTCACAGAAGAAACAGGAAAAGTGTGGAACTTGCCAAGAAACAAACCTGCACACACTGAAAGAATCAAATTAGACACCACCACCCTCCTTCCCCACCGTCACTAAGAATTTGTGGGAGTCATCTTTTGCGAGAACGGGGTTTAAAACTGAAAAAAAAAAATCCTCTTTATATACAAACGTATTGACCCTCCAGACAGCTTCTGTGTGAGATGTGGCAGAGGAATCATAGCTATGTGACCATTTTCTAGAGGGACAAACTGAGCCTGGAAAGAGAACACAGGGCCAGAACTGACAAAAACATTAGAAATGCCCCAGGGCCAGTTCAAAGGCTCCTTGGTCCAGGAATCTGCCTCTGACAGGCTCTGTGAAGTTTCTCAGAGTGGCCTTCTATACCAATTCTCCAGAGATGTTTAATTCCCACTTATAGAAGCTACCATCCATGAACATCTTTTGGATCCTTCACTATCTGCAACAACTCTGCAAAGCCAAGAGAGACGAGACAGGATGCCCTCAGCCCCATGCCAAGTGATGCTGAATTCCAATACGTGAAACCACAAGCGCTGACCGTTTCCCAGATACCTATGGATGTCCAGGCCCAGAGCAGCCAACCTCCCCTCTGTGGGGCATTTTCCACACCACATGGATCAAAGAAACGATTTTATGACCCCTTCATCATAAAGCATTCAAACACCCAGAATGTCGGAGAAGCTACCTGTTTCACGATTAAGAGGCTTAATCTCTCAGGGTCGTCCTGCTTCCGTGTCTTCCTCTTTCAGCATCCTCCAGAGCCGGGGCCTGTAGGGGTGACCCAGAAAGCACATTCAGGATATCTGGCTTCAACATGGGGACAGATCATATATCAATCAGGGAGGGACTAGACAGGCAGCCAAGGATGGAGCCCTGAAGAACCCAGCAGTGGATGGACCTGCCTGGGAGGAGGGCCCTGAAAAGTCCCTGAGGGTGGAGAGGACTTAGGAGAGAAAGACACTCAATTCCAGTCTTCTAGTCACTCAGGCCCCAAACCAGGAGTCATTGTGACTCCCCTGTTTCCTTCACACCCCACGTCCAATCCATCAGCAAATGATGCCCGCTTTATCTGCAAAATGTATCCACCTCCACTGCTACCACTTTGGTCCAAGCAGCTTCTCTCATTAGAATACTGCAATAACCTCCTAGCTGGTCCCCCTACTTCCATCCTTGCCTGTCTATAATCCATGTATCATGCAGGTTGAACTGTGTTATGGGTCAGACTGTGTCTCCCCGCAGTTCCTATGTTGAAGTCCTAACGCCAGGACCTCAGAATATGAACTTATTTGGAAATAGGGTTGAAGCTGATGTAACTAACTATTAAGATGAGCTCACACATCATACATTGAGTAGGGTGGGTCCCTAATCCAATATGACTGGTGTTCTTATAAAAAGGGAAAATTTGGACACAGACACCTACACAGGGAGAGCACCATGTGAAGACTGGACTCACGCTGCCCCAAGCAAAGAAACTACCAGAGCTAAGAGAGAGCTCTGGAAGAGATCCTTCCCTAGCACCTTCAGGGGGATCGTGGCCCTGCAGACACCTTGGTCTTGGACTTTTGGCCTCCAGAACTGTGAGATGGTAAATTTTTATTGTTTAAGCCACCATGCTCCCCACACCAGCCTAAAAATCACTCTTCTGCTCAAAACATTCCTATAGCATCTTACATCTCTCAGAGTAAAAGACAAAGTCCTTGAAATGTCCTACACGGCCCCATGACCTGCCCCAGCCTCTTCTCTGACCTCTTCTCCTACTCTGCCCTTGTTCAATTTCCTACAGCCACAATGGCTTCCTCAAGCATCCCAAGCAGGCTCCTGCCTCAGGGCCTTTGCACGTGCTCTTCCCTCTGCCTGGAACACTGTTCCACTAGGCTTCCTTCACTTCCTTCAGGTTTCTGCGATAATATCACCTTCTCAGTGAGACCCTCCTGACAACCCCAGCAGCCTTCCCTGTTGTATTTTTCTTTGTAGTGCTCATCACCACCTGACATTTGTTTATATTTTTATCCCTCTTTCCTCACACTAGACCAGGAACTCCCTGAAAGCAGGGACATGGAATTATGGTATGCCCCAGAGCCCAGCACATAGTAGGTGCTTACGTAATAGTGGCTGAGAGATTTATTTGCGGACTGAAAGAAGCCAAAAGAAAAAGTTGCAAGAAGGAGGAAGTTGTCCACGGTGTCAAAAGTAGCAAAGGGTCCAGAAAGATAAGGACCAAAGTGTCCGTTGGGTGTGGTAATATGGAGGCCACAGGTGACCTGAGAGGGGACAGCTCACGTGGAAGCAGGAGCCCCTCACAGCAAACCCACCAGGTCCCTCCCCTGCGCCAGTCACACCTCCCACGGGCAGAAGCCAACCTGAGCGGGCTGCCTCAGCGAAGGAGCAAAACCCGAGGGCAGATTCTTTCCAGGCGTCTCGTGAGGGAAGGAGAAGAGGGAATGAGAAAAAGAGGGGGTGAAGGTTTGAGGAAAGACTACAGCAGAATGACTGGCGTGGGTGACGTCCCAGAAGCTGCACGGGCACCTGGGTGCAGGAGGAAGGTTCCATCTGGCCAGGAAGAGGAGGAGGGGTGTGTCCTCCTCTGAGTGGAAGGAAACCATGCTGGGATGAGCCCCGAAGGGGATAACTGCACGAGGCGGGGAGGCGAGAACCTGAGTGAGCTCACTGCTGAGCGAGGGGACCTTGTCAGTAATCAGTGAAGGCAGGAGGTCTCCTGAGTGACGAAGGGAAGACAGGGAGGGGGGCTGGATGAAGTGGGGACCGTGGGAAACATCCTGCAGGGTCAGCCCTGAAACCGAGTACCTCCTCGAATTCTGTGCCCCACGTACCTCCTTGCCTTGTGAAGTGCGAACCCTGACGGGAGAGAGAGCCAGCCGCTGGCCAGCATCACTGAGGGTCAGCTGACACAAGAGGCCGTGGGCTCAGACACACACAATCCATGTGGCTATGCGTTTCTGGGACAGGACCTTGGCAGCGTGGATTTAGGAGAAGGGTCTTCCTCCAACTGAAGAATTCCAAGACCCCAAACAGCTCCATCCCTTTTTGTCAGGGCTGCATCACTCACCCAGGCCCCCAGATTCAGCCCTTTGAGCCCCTCTGGGTCCTCACTCTCCACTCCCCTGATTCCTCCCAGTCAGTCACAAATCCTGCCTATTACACTTGTGTGCTGGGTGCGACCCAAGCTAAAACCCTCACACACCAGTCCTGTGAGGTGTTCTGAGTGTCTATTTACAGTTGATAAAACTGAGTTTTGATGAAGTCACCTGCTCAAGGTCACACAGGTAGCAAGTGGCAGAGCTGGGGTTTGAAATCTTCCATCTCTCTTTCCTCTTGTCCATATTCATGCCACCACCCTGGTCCAAGGCCTCAACGTTTCATTCCTAAAATTCAATGTGATAAATGTCTTCTAACTCACCTACCAGCATTCCCCTGTTACAGGGCACACATCCGAATGAAGCTTCTTACAACACTGTTTTGTTTTCCTGTTCCAATAAAACTTTATTTACAAAAATAGGCACCAGGCCATAGTTGGCCTGTAAGTCACAGTTTTCCAACCACTGATTTATAGTCTTCATGGAATTACGAAAAATTTTGTCCATTATTTGTTCAAATATTCTTCCCTCTCCCCTTTCTCTCTCACTGGGATTTCAATCACACATACGTTAGACCACTTAATGTTGTCCCCCAAGTTGTCAATGCTATGTTTTTGTTTTAAATATCTCTGTGCTTCTTTTCGGATAGTTTCTGTTGCTATGTCTTCAAGTTGGCGTCTAATCTGCTTTAATCTCATGCAGCGTGTTTTTTATTTCGAATCTTTCAGCTCTAAAAGTTCCATTGGAATCTTCTACTTCTCTTTTACGATCTCCTCTCCTTGTTGAACATGTAGAGTGTATTTATAATAGTTCACAGCACTGTTTTTACCTATCCCCGTCCCATGCAATTGGAAGGGCTCCTTCTTCAATCTTGCTTCCCACACGCACACTCCACTGCACCCCATCCAGAATGCTCCTCCCCTTTCCATGCACCCCTCAAGGCCCAATGCCAGGACACTCCTCCTCACCCCATCCCCATAGCTCCACCCCTCTGAGCGCCCTGCATGCCCCCACTTGCTGAGCAATCCCTGCTCGTCTGAGTTCACCGCACTTAGCTTCTCTTGGCAAGTGTTCCACTTGCTAAGTTTCCGTGTAGATGGCACACCCCCTGAAGGTAATTAATATATGCGTTGAATGCTTGGAATTGCCCACTGCTCAACACAGAGTCTACAATGGTAAATGTTACTTGATCTACAAAACAATTCTGATGAAACACAGACGATATACTTCTAGAAGTTTTTCAGAAAATACAAAAGAACTGGGATGGTAACTGGAAGGGACACAGGGCCTTCTTGAAGTTTTGGAAGTGTAACTATTCTTCCTTTGCAGGAGCACTCAGAGTCTGACACCGTATAACAGCCACTGTAATAAGAGGGAGGATGGCTGGATGTAGCTCTCCCTTCCTTCCTGCTCCTACATACTCAAGGTCTTGGGATCCCTCCTTAGGTACAGGCTTTCACACACAGAGATATCCTATCTTCCTCCCTCTTCAAAGGAAGAGCTTAAAATGTGAGCAGTCCAAGTCTGGCTGAGTGGAGCTCATGGTGACTAGCAGAACGGCAGAAGGAAGAGAAAGGATACTCCATTTCTGGGAAGCTGGGAGTTGGCTCTAACCAACTTTGACTGTCAGCCAGGGACCATACAATTCTGGGATTCTTGGGGTCACAGAAGGAGGATGGTTAAGAATGGTGAAAGTCAACAAGGCACTCAAGGGTCATCAAATCACACCCCATGCAGACAGAATGGGCAGCACCTGAATAACAAGGGTCTGGGAGGAATCTATGGAGGGGAAGGTGATGCTGCCCACCAGATGCCCGATAGGAAATCAAGATCTCCCCAAACCAGTGGAACCAAAGGCACAGTGTGGTCCTCGTGACACAGTGGAAATACCAAGACCTCTGGAGTCAAGCCTGGGATCATATCCTGACCTCATCACCCAGTGGCTGTCCAAACTTAGGCCGGTCACTTCCCCTCTCTGAGCCTGGCTCTGCGTGAGCTAATGCAAGGCCTAAATAAAACAAGAAATGTAGGAAAACATCCAGCGCAGTGTCTGGCCTTATATAAGGGGCCCAGTAAGTGTGGCTCCCCTCCCTCCTTCAGATCTCACGACTCTCAACCCTCCTTAAGAGGAACAAGTGCAGAAGCTACAGAGCATTTCCCAGGGGGAAGGTCTGCAAAGAAGGATGGCCAAAGTCAGCTAAAGGGAGGAGGACAAAAGGGCCACCCCATGGCCACAAAGAGAGAAGCATTGGACCTCTGTAAATGCCAGGGTTTCAAAACACACAAAGCTTCAAGCCTCAGACCAGACCCAAACAGGAAGTTTGTGACAAACTTAGAAAACAGGCAGGCACAACTGCAGGAGGCTGACACCACTCAGAAAAGATGAAAATGAGCACTCCTGGGGGTGCGAGGCAGCGTGGAATAAAAGGAGTGTGCTTGGCCGACATTCCAAACACATACAGCTCCTCCCGGTGTTGGGAGCACCTGCCCTGTGCTCCTCTCCTCACCCCACGCACGTGGGCCAATCCCATGTGGCTGCCCTGGTTTTCTGGTTTCCACATGGAGCCTGTCAACACCTCCCCACTCTGTCCCTCCCCTCCCTCCCCAGGCATCAAGGGCAGCAGACATTCTGAACAGTTCTCAGGGGCCTGGGGGACTCAGGTGTGTGAGATC